GGGGGGGGGCGTTTTCGTGTTTTGCATGCCTGGGGGGAGGGGGAACGGGGGAACGGGGGTATTGCCGTGGATCTTGTTTTTGCGTCATGTTCAAGGAAGCGAATTTCGTAGGAGAATCTCTGCCTGCTTGTGTTCTTTTGTGTGGAGGGTCTACACGGGGTAGGCAATAGCGCAGGGGGGGAGCGCGGATGAGAGTTGGGGATTGCGGGGTTGTTTGCTAGCTCTTGGTAAAACAAGGGAGCACTAGCGCGTACCTGCTGTAAGAGCGGTGTAGTTGAAAGTATGGTGTGCTGTCAAGACCCCTCTCCCGCTCCTCCGCAGTGTATCTCCAAAATTTCCTTATTGTTTTTTCTCAATTTTCGCGTCTCATTTTTATCTCGTCGCACTTCTTGCTGGTGCTCTGAGCCCTGCATGATGCAGCACATGGTTGGACTTGACTGCTGTGCCAAGAAGCAGTGGGAGTGCTATGCCACCAAGTGGAAATAAACACTTGGAAAGTAGTTGGTAGCAAACCGAGGGTGGGCCCTTCCGACACCGCCGACACGGCGTGCTGTTATAAATGGCAGGAGATTTCGTATGTTTGCCGCCGTAGCCTGCGAATAATTTGGCCGGGGAGTATTATTCAAGTTGCACACGAAGTTGCTCCTGCACTTAGGCAGGACTGATGGTGTGTGTGTACAGGGCACTTGGAGCTTGTAAACAGGCTCGTGTCCCTCAAGGGTGAGGAAATCAGAGGTTGCGGGGTAGCCTTTCCGGATGATGTGTGTGTGGAGCACGCGGGGAGTTGGAAGAGGTTTGTTTGTAGAAAGTTGTGTCTTTCCTTTTGTGTGTGTGCGGCGGTATCATTTTGGTTCATTTCTGCGTGCTTGGGCCGCGCCGAGGGTTTTTCGAGCATTACATGAAGGATTGAAAACTCATCATGTTTTGCGGATACAGCAAGTTCCATTTTCCAAGACGCCTGCATGTTGCACGCTGTATGTTTTATTCGCCGGCCAACGCTCGAGCGCTGTTGCGTAAGTAAGATAGCTCGTTGTACTTCAGTCGCACACCTTCTTGCTTCACTCGATCATAATGTAAAAGCGTACGCACGTAACCTTCAGTTACTGCGGCAAACGACGTGCGCCTTTTCTTGTGTGAGTACTGAAGCATCTTAGGGTAAGAAACTTGTTGGTGACCTTGCACCTTTTTCTTCCAGTTTATGTCTCCCTACGGTCTTCATGTGTGTACTCTCCGACTTGATTCTTCCGCTTATGTTGCCGTAAGTTAGGGTTGACACTGCCAATGCTCGGTAAAAGTGGCTCTTGAGCTTTTGGTGTAAGAATGACTTTTGCCTATTCGCTTGATATATGCATGAGACAGCAGTGTTGAATTTTTATGGCGTTCCTTAGCTTCGAGGGGGGGGGGGGATCAAAATGCCCCAAATCCGCTGCGCAAGAATTGTATTCTTTCAGCACGCATGCCGGAGTGAGGGGCGTCGTTTTTCTCTCGCCCGCGAGAGCTTGGTTTGAAAGAATGGTGTCGCGATGGGTGCTATTGTATTCGGGTGTATGCTCTCCGTGGGTAGGAATGGAGCACGACGAGTGGATGGTAGCGCATGGCGTTTCCTCCCGAACTTCACACACGCGTTTTTTTGCAATGTTGGCAGCTTGAGAAACACGGGACGGGGGTGCACGGGATAATGCAGTAATGGCCGTCGGAAACTTGTTCTCTTGTGTTTGATTCGGTTGTTTGTGGAATGGGCAAAGAGCGCCATGCAAGAAGAAGACACGTTTTTTGTCCAAACCTTTCCACGACACGAACTGAGAAAACTTCCCTGCTTCTGTTTGTTTCGCCTGTTTCCCGCTGTACATGATGACTGACTTGCCTATTGCAGCCACTGCCCGGGTCAGAAGTAAGAGAGTCGCGGGTTCTGCGTCTGCCACAACAGTCCCTCCCGGGGACCGGTTCTTCTTGTGCCGACTGTGTTAACTTGCGCTTCGGAAAGAAGTTACGGTGATGGTTGAGCGAAGCCGTAGTAGCCTTAGCGGATACGGGCTGCCCTCGAATCCATCTGTCTGTGCATTCCGAGCGGTCATCGAGTGCTACGTCGACGCGGCTAAACGGATAGGTCGGGGTTTGACGATGTGAAGATGGCACACGGCAATGCACGCGGCGAGAATACTTCGGCCGAAACGAACGGCGACTGCCATGATCGGGTAATGCCTGTGTGTTGTAATTTTCCGGGAGGTCTTTCTTACCACCAAACTTCATCCGAGCATCAATCGCATTTCGCGAATGTAGCGAAAAGGTCAGGGCAAGGAGGGAAGGGGGGGCGAGACCTTTCTTTGCCCCTCACTACATGCTACATCGATCTCCCCGATCACTTCGTTTTAAAACTACAGGACAGCAGTAGACCACGGTCAGCTAAGCTACGCTGTCGTGTCTGTTTCGTTCTCCAGAGCGTTCTTCTTGTTTGCTACATGCAGTCGTTCACCCAATACCTACCTTGTCGTACGCAACCCCCTAACCTGTAACTCCACGTGCTCACTCTCGTTCGTGAGTACATTGAACACGAACTATTTATTTCCAATAATTTGTCTTTATTTACCCTTCATGTTGTATGAACATGAGGAGGGACAATTGAGAGGATGAGTTTTCTGCGCGACCAGAAATCAGAGCTATTCAGTTCAGAGAACAGGACCTGCAAATATTGAAAGGGCGGCTGGAAAGCGTGAATGACCGTTTCTTGGAACAAAACAGGGCGACGGAATCAACGGAATTTTCTCATGTATGTGGCGTGCCCCCGTCCCCTTTTTTTCTCGGTAGTGGGCCCCCCACCTCATGTGGCAGGCCCTGGAGCAGCAGCAGGTCCAGGCAGTAGTCGGTGCAAAGAGGAGAGAGCTGTGCGTGCGGCGTATTCTTCTCCCTATCGACTTTGCCGTTACCGCTGAGCAGTGATTCTCTTCCCCGAGATTCCGGGTCGTGAGGCGTGTTCGAGGTAAGCATGTTTGCATACCCCCAGTCGTGGCATCTCGCTCACGCCTGGCTATATACTGTTCGCGGTTCAGATATCCAGAGGCAGAGACATTGAGGCCACTCAAAGGCACCATGGGAGCGTGGAAGCACAGCGTTTATCAGAATTGTCTTGTGTGAGAACTGCTGCCAGTTTTCATAGAGCAACAACGGCCGCAGGGGGCAGCGGGCAACGGAGACAGAAAAAGCAACATAGGTAAAATATCCAGTTGACATGATACACTCGCAATCTGAAATTTTCGCACCCTTGAGGCTCACTCTGTGTACCCCCCAGGCCCGGTGTATCCGGGTCTACTTTTAAAGTAATTGGGTAAGGTCTGCGTGTGGAGGCTTGCCACGTGGCTAGCAATGTCCAGTTTCCAGGCCAGGGCACACGCTCCAGAGCGGCGCCTGTTTCACTGCATGTCGCCGCGTAATTTAGCCGCGTACCGAATCTCGCCGCATGTGGATATATACCGAACGCCAGTCCCGGCCCTCCCCGAACTTCGCCGCATCAGGATACAGACGGCACAAAGCACCGGTGTCTGTGTGAACCACTGCTTCCACAACTGCAGCAAAAAATCCCGGCTGCAATTTGCAGAAGAGAGAAGGGGCTTCTACGTGACGGGCGCGTTCGTTCCAGTAGACCCGCCGCAAACATGACCAACTTCTTCTCGCTACAGGCGGACATGCGGCGGGCCAAGGATAGGTGCCCCGCCTGCGCCAGGCAGCAACTCCACATCGAGAATGGCCAGTACGTGCCCGGCGACGAGGTGAAGGGCCAGCTGTACACCACGCCGCGCGGCGGGGGGAGCAGCAGGCGCGCGCGGGCGGCGGCGGCTTCTCGAGGAGGAGGAGGGGGAGGAGGGGGCACCAGTGGTAGTAGGAGCAGCGGCGGCAGCAACGCGTACAACGCGCTGGCTCAGCACGAGATCCGCCCGGAAGAGATCGTTTGCACCCACTGCCTTTGCTCCAACGAGAACCACGAGGACACAGGGCCGAACGGGCAGAGGTGTTGCGGGGGCTTGAGGGAGGGGCTATGGGACAGGGTCTGCGAGCTGTGCAAGGCCTCGGAGAGCTGCAGGGCCTGGGCCAGGGCGAGAGCTTGCCCGGCCGAGGAGGCGGGCGGGGCGCCGCCGGGGGAGCCTAATCATGCCATCAATGCCACGGGCGAGAAGCCGTGCAAGACCGAGGGGAAGGCGAACTTCTGCATGCACTGCACATGCCCGTGCGCCCAAGTTCATCCACACACGGTCGAGGATAAGAGCAACTGGATGTCAACGTGCGTGTGACGTTCCACGTAGGAGTCTCCTGTGGAGTCATGTGCCTCCTACAGCCTTGTATCACGTGATCCCGGGCCACCGCTGGTGACATCAGTGATTGCTCGGTGCGAGCCATGGCGCAATCGCTCGCGTTTTTGAACATGCTGTTGTAGCAACCACAACTGCAGGTGCTGCTGCATACACGCCGTTGCCGGGCAAGGGTTTGACCCTCGCCGGCGGTCTTGCGGAAGAGTATCGCATCATTTCAAACAAGAGAACATGTAGATTCGAGGATGTTTTCTAGTCGCGCCCGCTTTCGACACTAGCCCACTGCTGTTTAGCTTGTGTCTTGGTCAATCTGGTAGAGCCAAGTCACCAAAGGGCTTGCTTCTACAGACACACGTTCACACTTTATCGCGAGGAAGGTTGGAAATCCGTTTTCCGACGCTACCAGCTGCCCGACTTGTTTGTCATGCTCGCTACTTTCCTTGTTCTGCTCGGTGACTCGTGTTGCAGCTCGGGCCGCTCCTCCCGCCCTATTCGACCCCCCGACCCATGTCTTCGCCGGCGAAACCCGGTGCCCACATGTTTTTTTATCACGCTCAAAGACGCGACAACACCACCTGTCTTGTCGTTTGGCCTTAGAGTCACCGAGTCTCCCCCCGCCCACATACCGTCCCCAAAGCCTGCTTGCTGCGCAACAAATATCCAACGCGTTTGCGACGTGGCGAAACTCTTGTGTGTGCAGCAACCCCGAGGTTCAGCGAGCGTGCCGCATCTGCTTGCCCTGCTGGGCGGGGTGGTGCATCCCGCTGTCCGGGAAAAAGCGCAAGCTCGTAGGCGCGACCATGGAGCCTGAGGAGCCTTTCGCGCGGCAGTGGAGACCCGGCCGAGACGCCGACGGTGAGCTTTGTCATTCGCTTGTGAATTTTGTTCTATCGATGTTCGTCATGACGTTTTTCTCGATGTTGTCGTTGTCGTTGTGCTTGGTTGTATTGACGGTGGTCATGGTGAGTGCTGCGGTTTTCGCGTATTGCGCGGAACCTGCGCGTGAAATTTGTTCATCATTGCTCGTCATGTTTCTCGATGTTGTCGTTGTCTCTGTGCTTGCTAATATTGGTGGTGATACTGTTGTGACTGTTCGCGTACTTGCCTGGAATCTACGACCCGTGATGGACAACGACAGGCGCAATATACACGCCAGAAGGACCCACTCACAAGCAACAGATTGCACCGTACACACAAACGGACCCACAGAGGTGGTCTGCCTACTTTCGAAGTCGCTCCATATGCACTGCCGCCGGTCCTCAACATAGGTTTGCCTCTGACCATTCCTCCCCTGAAAGCCCCCTCATCCGTAACAAACAAACGACAGTGTTCGTCCTGACGGGCCTCTTCGACGAGCTCACCGGCCTCCTTCCCGAGAACGGCTTCCCGTACGCCGTGTTCGGCTCCTCCCTGCGCTATTTCAAGGGCCTGATCGGGAGCGCGGAGGCTAAGCACGCGCTGAGGGAGGCCGGCGTGACCCCCGGCGACCGTAGCAGCGCGATCGGCGAGGCGTGGAGCGGGGGCGGCTCCATGTACCCGCCGGAGCGGCCCGCGGGAGCGCGGAAGGTCGTGGCAGCGCCGCTGCGCCAGGGGGAGGTGAGAAAAAACAGAGCTAGAAAAGATTGGTCGATTCAATCATCTGGCCCAAGTACTCAATGAAGTCTAACGGGTACCTAGTCGTTCTGTGATTGTAGTGTTTCGTGTGTTTTCTTAAAAGTTTTCTACACAGCCCGCCCCCTTGCGTACAACTCTTCGACTCTCAGAAGACAAAAAAACAAATATTCAGACATCGCCCGCACTAAGCAACCTCTATTGTGGTTTTGGCACAGCCTGGAGGTCTTAGTTCCTAGGGTCATACTACGAATGACCGTTATACAGATAGGTTTTAGCGCAAGGGTTCTTTAACCGAGCTCACCAATGGCGCTCAAGTTCTTACGTTTTGAGTTTTTGAGGCTCTGTCAATCCCATGACTGCCAAGTTCTTACGGGCGGGCGCGTTCTGTATTCTCTTACAATGCCTGCAAATATTTGTTCTCCTCCAGGGCGCTAATAGGCACTTCTCCAGGGTGCACGGCAGGCGGGACCACAACTGGCAGTGGGACATGCTCAAGAGCCCGTGGTCGCTCGGGCTGATGGCGAAGGGGAGGCTCGCCCTCGGGGTTTCCGAGGAAGAGGCGAACGAGTTCGAGGAGGCGGGGATCATCGCGTTCCCGGGGCACGTGGTGAAGCACAAGGACTCGGTGAAGAACGGCGGGTACGGAAAGACGATCGGGACGCTGGTGCTGAGGTCTCCGGAATCGGCGTTCGTCTGTGTGCAGGTTTGTTTGTGTGAGGGAGAGGGAGAGAGAGAGAGAGAGAGAGAGAGAGAGAGAGAGAGAGAGGACCCCAAAAGCTTCATCGCAAGCAAGGCGGAGCTCTCAGCTGGCGACACAACACGGGTGTTGCAGTCAAAAGTTGCAAGTATTTCCAGGTATATACAACAGCCTGGCTAGCCAACTAGCTCCTTCTTCACGATCGGGCTCCAGAAACACCAGCATGCCCCCCCCGCCCCCTTCACAACACGACACGTGCTGAAACCAAATCTAAGGTGCAAGGGGAGCGGCTGGGCAGGGCCGTCGAACTGGCCGAGGAGCTTGGCGTGGAGCTTCCCCCAAGGTTCGCCGAGAAGGGGCGCTTCAAGTTCGCCATCAACGAGCTTGACGCGTGGGCGATGGTCGGCGGGACGGCGAGGAACGATGCGGAGCACGCGGTGGTCTGCGGGAGGAAGGTCATCCCGCCCGGGGAGCCCGGGGAGGGTTTTGTGCGTGTGGCGTTCAACATGAGGTGGGGGTGGCAAGACGACCGGCGGGTGTGAGGCGATGAGGCGTCCTGCGTGCATTACCGGGAGACTCGCCGTCGCCAGTCGCGAGGCTTGCATGCTATGCACCCAAGGAAGGCGTCATGGCATCGGGAGAATGTCGTTGCCGGGAGCGAGACTTGGCATGCTACAGAAGGAGGCATGATACATGGCGAAGTGGTTGTCGGGAGCGAGACTTGCATACTACCGGAAAGACGCGTGGCAAGCATATCGAAGTCGTTGTCGGGAGCGACACTGCATGCTACTAGAAGGGGGCGTGGTAAACATCGCGAAGCCGTTGTCATCGGGAGCGAGACTTGCATGCTACCAGCAGGAGGCGTGGTTAGCATCGCGGAGTCGTCGTTGTCACCGGGAGCGGGCGGTGGGGCGCGCAACCGTCGAGAGTGGAGATGTTTTTTTCGGGAGGGGCAGCAAGGGTTACGTATGATCATAGGAGACATCGGCCTGGCACGAGGATTGCGGCGGAAACGACTGCATCAACTAGGAAATGCGTGGTTGGACGGGAGGGATGTTTGGTGAACCACAAAGAGGGAAAAATGCCAGAGAATACCTACCCATTGTGGCATGGATGAGTCAGTTCAACATGAATTCACTGGGGCCCCTTACGGGGCTCAAGACTGCGGGGCCCCTTCTCCAACCGCGGCAGCGATGGCGAGGTGCTCTCGGATGGTAGGCGGGACCAATGAGGTATGCGTGGACGTTGTGCCCTTGAGCGGTGTTGATGTGCGGGCGGTTGGATGGCCTACCACATTTGCGACTGTGGTGGCCTACATCCACGTAACAGGCGCAAAATATCCCACGCCCCGGCGACAGCACCGAGAGTTTGGAAACGCCAGCTCTGGTGCCGCTCTCTGTGGGGTGTCCGATATCTCAAGGGAGCTGTACGGTATCTGAATATCTGTAGCGCATGCACTTGTTCTTCTGGTACTACGCGATTGCTGCTGAGTGATGGGGTGATGAGAGCTAAGTACTGTTGGCAGTACCGTGGATATTGAGATCGCATGCCCATGCTTGTTTGTGTGGGTTTTCACCCTGGCGATCGATCAGCTCCATCTTCTCTGGGATCGGGGTTAGGGAACCGGGAGAACCGTTTTACTGCATGGGTGTGAAAGCGGAACGTGCACTCTTTTCTGGTCGCCCGATACGCAGTGGTTGTGTTGTATTCTGCCCGCCGGACGCTGGCCAGGACGCTCCTAGTCCTCCTTCGTCAAGAAGACGCTTGTATCTTCGCTCCTCGAGCACCTATGCCCCCCCCCCCTCGCTGCAGCTCGGCGGGCGTTGTAAGTTCGGTGCGTGATACTCTTCAAAAGTAGTTGATTTCATGCGCGTTCTTTGCCGACCATGCTACTACAGTAGTTCCTGCCGGGCACAACAGCGTGTCCGCCTGGGCCGAGCAGGATGTCGCACCTTGTTGAGAGAAAAATGACGTGGTACAAAGTCGTGAGGGTGTGAGATATTTTTCCTTCGTGGGGGCTGCGTTGTCTTCGTTGAGTGTAGTGTATACTTCATGTCGTGTTGCTGCTGCCGGCGAAGGTCTTTTCGTTGTTGGCGCGTTTGAAGAAGCTCTGCGACTGATTCTTGCGAGGAGACCGGATGATCGTTCTCTCAGCTCCTTGCCGGACTTGTTGGCGAGGCGCTGGCCAAACAATCTCTGCCCTTGCCTGTCAGCATCTACCTCTTCGACAACACCTGTATCTTTTCTTGGCGAGCAGAGTTCATGTATGTGTCATGAGTGCTTCGCGTCGCACCTCCCTTCACGCGCAAGAGACAGCTCGTTCGCACGCACGGAGTTAAAGTACTCGTGTGTGTTTGAGATGAATTTGATGTGATGGCGTTAATTGTTTTTTGGCGAGGTATGAGTTTTGTGCCAGGTGTGTTGTATGCGTACATGAATCATTTTGTGCGGGGAGAGTGAAGGACAGCTCGAACCTCCTTGGTTATTGGTAATGCTTGTTTGGTTTTCTGCTTTTTGTCGGAGCGCACACGTTGTCGACAGTGCTGCCTGCCTTTGTTTCTACACGCTGTTCGAGCTTCGACGATGACCTCAAGTATGAAGATGTGGCACGAATAAAGGGGGTGACTAGTATTGGAATTGGTGCGTACCATGACGGGGGTTGTTGCCGGAGCTATTGGACAAGTATGACCTAGGTGACCGCGACGTGCGTGCTGCCGTTATGTGTTTGTTTCCGTTTGTGTCGTCTTCCCGTGGTGCTGATCTCTGTTACTGTTCCTGCCTTTCGTTTTTCCCGTTTTTTCGTCGTGGACGGAGGGTAGGTATCCTTACCTTCCTTCGTCCTTGTTACGTGCGTGTGCAGACAAGCAGACACGTTCCGCCGGCTCATTGCATGTTGCCATCTGTCTGTGTTTAGCTGGGTCAAGTGAACAGGGGGTTTCTGTTGGCAGGGTGGGAGGGTGATGACATTCGGTACGAAGAGTGAGTGAACACAAATATTTGCGAACGAAGCAGCTGAATGCAACAGGTCTGACGCTGTGATGAGCATATCAAAAAATACATCGTGTTGATGCCACCGGATCCAGGCCGGCTTCTGCCCCCCCCCTGTTGCAACTCCCCTCCGCCCCGGTGTTTGCCATCGGGGTTGGGTTTTCGTCGCTTGGCAACGACAAGCCCCCCCCCTCGGTGTTTAAAATCATCCTAGGATGCTCCAAGCGCACAAGTAATGCAGCCGTCAGGGAAGAATTGGGGATCCAATCCCTACGGTCGGGAAGAGACGCGAGGAAGCTGACATGGCAGTATCGCATGTACGGGATGGGAGAGGAGAGGTTGCCGAGAATTGTATGGGAGGCGAAGTGGGCAAACAAAAAGAGGGGTAGACAACCCACGGAATGGGTCAAGGTTGTAGAGGACGTATGGAAGGGGCTCGACATCGACGAAGATGAAACGCTGGAAACGGAGGGTCTACAGGGGTTCAAGGAGAAGATATCTGTTGCTTGTGCCGAGAGAGAAGAACAGAATCTGAGGAAAGAATCCAAGGATAAGGAGGGTCTAGAAGTGTACGGAATGTTGAAGGAAGGAATAGGGTTCAAGGACTACCTACATGGACCAATGGATGCAGGAACAAAGCTTAAGGTCAAATTCAGGACCGGGGACATAGGCCTTCGAGAACGTCGACGAAGACATAGGACGGTAGGCGACGAAGACGACGAGTTCAAATGTGATTGCGGCTTCGAATGCGAAGACTGTGTTCATGTAGTCGCGGAATGTCCGTGGTACAAGGAGAGGGAAGTGTACGTGGCTGAGGTGGGAAAAATAGATGGGACGTACAGGGAGATGATTGAGGCATGAAATAGAGAGGAAAGGACGGTAGCTGTACTGGGGCATAGGAGGTGGGTTGAAAAGGCGGGAAGGGATATGGTTAGCATACAGACTAGGGAAGACATTTTTGAGCCACCTTTGGCAAAGTAGAAAAGAACGATTGGCCATCGGTGATCGGTCCTGTGGGAACAATGCTCCGTCCTCTCGAGGACGCGTGGTCAATGGTCTAACCGCTAAGGCATGCAAAACATAAGAGTACGCCCCCCCCTCGGTGTTTGCCATCGGGATCGTCGCTTGGCAACGACGTTGTACAACAAGCCAATTCACTTCGTGAACTCGGCAACCAGGTTACTGTTTTTTTTACCTCTGTTTTTTTTTTGGCGGTAATCATAATGGTGGTCGAGAAGATCATGTTGTGTGGGGTGGAGAACCCTCACTCCGCGCAAGGGGGATGATTGCAACACGTTGTGTTAAAATGGTCAAGCACCCTCGAGGCAGTTACACAGTGCTTACAACTGTCTCTGGAAGTGAACGCACCAGAAAATAAATCAAGTCATACGCAGCTGCCATCCGTATGCAAGAAAGTAAGCACAAGATGCCGAACACCCTTAGCAGGATGCAGCGCACCCTTCATGCGACCCGCCGAATATCTCACGGCGCTTCGCGCTTGGTGATGTGAGAACCTGGTCCGGTGAGAACCCGGCGTGCTCCGTCCCGGCTTTGTAGGGATGCGTGGTCAATGGTCTAACGACTACGGCATGCACGACTTTGAGTACACCCCGCCCCCGCCCCCCCTGTTGCAACAAGCACTCGCCTTTCGCTGGGAGTACGATACCACGCACCAGATACTACGTCCGGCCTCTGAGCTCTTCTCCCACTCGACTCCTGAAATCCCTTAGGCACACACTCCTGGGGGGGGGTAGTTTTGAGGCAGAAAGCATGGCTTGCTGCACAGAGAGAGGAAGTCTGAAACCGGACCGATTTTGACGCGTGCGCTTCTATATAGTGTGCTGGTGGCGGTTATTGACTTTAATTGATTACGAGAAAAATCGACGTTCGCACAAAGCATAATAGTCTAAGGAGTTCGCCGCGATGCTCCAGATCGTATGCCGCAACGCATAAACCATTACGTACGTACGTGGACATTAATGCTGTGCCTTCACGCTTATTATTGTCGGTGGCGTCCCCCGTCTAACCGCAGTATCCGGTGGAGGTTTGTTCGTCTATGCTCCAAACTACCCTACCCACCCTACGACGGTGGTGCGTCCCCTCCACGACCCCAACAAAAAAAACGTTGTCGGAAAGTGTTGTCATCGACACAACAGCCAGGGATCTACTTCTATAATAACAGAAACGGGTCGGACCACTCTTAGGAATACGTTTTCACTACAAACGACGTCTCTATTTCGGGACAAACGGCAACTACAGCACTGAATATCACTGGTAGAACGTTTCCAGGTAACTTAACAAAGCGGTCCAAACCCCGTCGGCCGGGAAGGTTTACCGCGGTCTACAGTCGTTGGATCCGCTCCCATAGCCGACCGATCCGCGTCCTCGCCGTTCCTATCCTAGGCTAAGCCTCCCCAAGGTCTGCATGTATGCTAGATTTTGTTCGTATTTGACGATTCAGACTCGGCCCGATCTTCGGAACTCGAGCTATCACCCATTCCAACAGCCAGTGCCTAGAGGGCAAGGGTGACCTTGAAAACGTTGCTCCTCAATCTCCACAGGGTAAAGAAGAATATCCGAACTTCCGACACTTCGATTGTCGACATACCCGTTTGGACGGTTGATGATTTTCGTTTCGACAAACAAGCCGACGAAGCTAACAACAGTATCGATTTACATGTAGTCCTCTCGACATCGCACGTATCTGAAGGAATATATGCCTACAGGGTCGAGTCGCCGCAGCGGCGTTGTACCTTTCCCGCCTACAATCACCCCCTTCGGATACCAACAAATACCGGTGAAGCGGAGGACCACCATTTCATTTCCCCCTTTCTTCTCGACTACTTTCTCCTTCTTTGATACCTTGGGGAGGACCCCTTCTCGGTGCTGCCGGTGCTGTTGCCGCTCTTGTTGCACTGATCGGTCGAGCTGTAGTGCCAGCGGTCTTGCCGTCGTGCTTGACTCGTAGCCCCGCGCTTGGACGCGAGCGGTCGTTGTCCGCCGAAGGTGTCAAAGTCAACGCGGTAACGTTAGGTCGGTGTTGGCTGTTGTCGTGTCGCGGTGATCGGCGCCGGGGGCGTTGTTGTGAAGTTTTTCTTCTCCCCGCGTTGCTGGTGCTGGTGCTGCCGCGACCGGGGGACGGCGGTGCGCTCATCTTAACCCGGTACGATTGGCGTCTCTCCAGCCAGTAGGCGCCAGCGGCAGGTCCAGGAGAAATCCCCTTTTGCAACCAAGTGCCGTTTTGTTTTTGTTGCGTTCCGTCAGACATGGGAATGCGGACGAGGGTGTAACATGTGTACGATGAGCAAGCCGATAAGCTCAAGGGTATTGTTGTCTACATGGCATGGACCACCGTTTCCATAGGCGTGTGCTGTTTCTCTTCTGTTTGTCCACCGGACCGCTCTATTAGATGTGGCGAGCGTTGCGAGTGTCTGTTTGCCGAAGGTGGCTTCCCATACTCTACAGCAGCAGCTCTTCGATCTACGCAGACGTGTTCATAGGCCGAACAACCTAAACCCATGCCACCACCGTGCAGGAGAGGAAGTGAACCAAGCTTGTCAGGGTCGCCTCTTCTTCAGGCAGGAGATATTTCCGAGCAACACACCCCCGAGAGAGATAGGAGAAAATGTGCAAGACGCTTTGCTGCCTGCCATTCTCTCCTCCCCGCGACCTAAAACTACCCATGCTATGCTTCCATCACGTCAAATCCCACACTCTTTACAGCACTCGCGAGGACGCCCGCCCCCCCTCCCACACGAAACAAGAACAACAACATGGGTAGGACGGGTCGAACAGACTCGGATCGATACCTGGGGCTTGTATCCCGGCATGAAGTAGCCCGCTCTGTCCATCGCCGCCCGCCGGTAAAACTCGAGGTTGGGAAACGCGGGATTGATATAGCTTACCGTGTCCGATACTAGCCGGCTGAGCCCACGTTTATCTCCACCGACTAACCCGGGCAAATCCTGTGGTACGTTGTAGCAGGGTGATGGGTAAAGGGACGGGGCGGGGGGAGTAGCCCGTTCGTGGCTTGCCGTAGCCGCTTCGAAGAGAGCGATCGCCCTTGACTCTCAGGATGGTGATCTTACTTACGGATATCTTGAAAATCAACGAAAATGTCACTTGCTTATTGTATTGCTGGACTCTGTTCTCGGTACTTGCCCGTCGCTTCCAGAGGGGTTGGCGAACACATAACATTCTGCCGGCTGTGAACACATACCTACTGAAGACGTAAGCGTGTACCATCAAACACGAAAAACCAATAATTTGTTCATTGCGATATTTGAAGCAGAGGCCTGCCGGTCACGGATGAAGGCTTTGATAGTGAAACGGCGCACCCGACTCCCCAATTGCTGCACCCCACCTTTATGTGGTCCATGTTAAAAGGGTCGGCCATGACAGACCCGTTGACTTGGTTTGGATCAGGAAGCGTCGGCTTCTGCACGGTGTTTGCGGGACAAAGAGCGAGAGAGGGGGCAATCTTGGTTTCCGATGAATACAAGCCTTAGCTAGACACGCAACGGGCCTTTGATGGAGAAGAGGTGGCGGCCACCGGCGTTGACCTTGACCCGAAGGCGTCGGAGGGGTCGGTTCGACTACCCGAGGAAATGCACGTACGATACTATTTCCCAAAATGATCCTCCTTCCAGTGATGAGAGTACCTCTTGCTCGGGAGATTTCCCTCAGGCATGTTCCTGCGACTACCGTAGTTCTCAGTCTTTGTACTCCGGCCGACAACGAATGCGATGTTCTGCAGGACGCGAGTATGATATGGCAAAATGGTTCTATCGAACGTACGTTGTGTGTAGGTCACGCCCTTTCGCACCTTCCGCTGGCCTGTCTCGAGCCTTTTCGTCTGATCACCTCCCTCCACCCCGCCGCGTGCCGGTCCACCATCTTCGGTGGCCGCACGTTTCGTTGGCGACGCGGAGATCGCGACGGCGGTGTCTTCGATGTCGTCATCAGAAGCGTCGGCACCGCAAGTCGGAGACGCGCTCGTTCTGCATGGTGACGGCTCCGGGTGGAACTCCTCCGTCCCACGACCAGCTACGGCTGTTGCTGAAGCACCGCTGCCAGCACCTGCCACAGCCTCGCCTCTGGCCTCGCCTCCTCGGGCGTCGTCGTCGACTTGATCAGACCCGCCTATTTCGCCGCCGCCCTCGCCTTCGTCGCCGCCGGTAGCTCCGCAGTCGACAGCGGCGCGCCCGCCTGCGCGACCGCTACGAGATAGTGACCAAGCCTTTTCCCCTTCCCCTTCTCCGTGATATTGATTCCGATTGCCACCCGCACATTCGGCGCCATTGCACCCATTGTCGATGTCGGCGTCGGCATGCTCTCTTTCTCCTCCTCCTCCTCCTCCTCGCCCCCCTTGATCGACGGTTTTTCGCTGGTCCAGTACCGCATGACGACAGCTCGCGGCATCACGATTGCCACCAGCGACAACTTCGTCGGTTATTTCCGGCCAAGACAGCGCCATTCGCAGCCGCCTGTCGAGGGTGGGCTGGGGGAGATTTCTGCTCGGACGAGGGTCGTACTCCGCCATGAGAGCATCGAGCTTTCGAATCGAGTCCAGTGTAGTCGAACAGGGCGATTTTCGTAAGGACGGGTTTCAAGATCGGGGAGGAAAGCATCAAAAGAAGTGGGGTCGAACCATTGGTGATTCATGGGTGTATCGACGTGAATGTGAGTAGAAAAACATTGTCACACTTCGTACTCTTGTTCGTTGTGGAGGGGACCACTTGATAAAACAATCCCACCCAACTGCCTAACCGCCTGTCGAGAGCGACGCCCTCCTCTCACGTTGTAGCATCGCCAATAATGCCTTACATACAAAGTGCGACTACCCCCGAATTTGGTATTTGCCTTTTAGTGTTCCCGGCCAGTTTTTAGTCATTTTGTTCTCTTGACCCTAGATGCCCAATTGCGACCACTGCTGTCGGTGCTCTTGCTTACCGCAAACATCGAGGGTTCCTGACTGACCTCTCTGGCGTTTCTTCTTCTAATCTCGTCTAGGCTATGAAAGGCCGCCTCTCGCCCCCCCCTACCCCCCCCCTCACTGGTCGATGGCGGGCACGCTAATAACGCCTCCTGTTCGAGACACAAAAGAACGGCGACGATACAGAATTTGGGATCGTTATTGCGTGCGTCTGGTCGCAACCTTTTCAAAACCGACTAGCCCAAAAGGCGCACGGCCTCGGAGCTACACGCAGTCGCAACCTTTCGTGTGCTTGCTTTCTCAAGGTACACTCTCCGAGTGGATGGGTGGAATGTGGGGTGACGCTTGTGTTACTGTCGAAGGAGTACGGAAAGAAGCAGTACAGGCTGCTTCGCCAATGACCCCCCCGTCCCTCCCGTCCCCATCGATGCTGTCGACCGTAGTTGCAAGGATGGCACGGGAGATGTAGTGAGTGATATCCTGGAATTTTGTGGGATGCCGAAATCGGGATGGTTAGGAAGTATAAAGATGCAAAACACAGGGCTACACAGGCGACGGAGACTTCCGAGGGATGCCAGGAAATCGAGAAGGAAATAGACGAGAGAAGGGACAAGATGGCGGTAAGAACGAACGTGTGGCGTGTGAGGCACACTTCGACGTCAGGCGGCACACTTTGAGAAGAAACAAGAAAGGAAGCGAATCTCAAAAAGCCCGATGGACTCTGCGACAACGTTGAAGCGGTAACGTCTAGCGGGAACATGGGCTCGCCAAAAGGACGGGCGTTGTATACCGGACGTAGGGTGGAGAAGCAACGCGATCGTACACTTGATACACCATGTGGCAAGGCAAGAGAGAGACGCTCGAGAGAACAAATAAATTGATGTATGCATGTAGATGAAGCTAGGCGGTGCTTGGGTCATATTGCGACAAACGGAAATGTGTTTGGTTGCCGTCGTTGAATGACAGGGAAGGAGTGGCACTGGACAGAGGTTAGCCCTGATTTCAAATGCAGAGACAAGACAACAATGACGACGACTAGAACATCAACTGAGAAAGCGATCGCTATCTTATGAAACGGATGGTCACCAATACTCGGCCACGGACGAAGAGGCTCCTGAACGTAGCGTATGGCAGGCCCACAAAGGTTAAGAGTCTGTGCTAGAGTGGGAATAGTGCTCGGTCTCGAATGGGGGTGAAGCGTGTTCATTCGTCAAATGACTGAGGCAAGCAAACAACGACCTCCCCCCCCAAAACCTCCCATGTCTCCTCGATTTGCATGCGGGCACAACCGAAAGATTCAACCGATTGTGCGCCATCTACTGTAGTGTTGGACCTCTTTCTGGAACCCCCCCTCGCCCCGTACCACGATCCACCGGTCGCACAGTTCAGATCAATCAATGGCTAACAGTGCAGCATGGGTACACGCGAAGCCTATTGTGAGTGTGTGTGTTCACGCCTTGCCCTTACCATGTTTTCCTCCTCAATCCGAGCTGCTTCGAGCAGCGAGAACACCATCTGCCTGCGGCGCACCTTGCTCCGCCAAAGAGCGGCAGGGACATCTTCTCCGCGGCGTGTTTCGACGCGTTGGAGTGGGGGTGGTGCTGTTTTCCTGGCGGTGGGAGTTTCCGATGCAGAGCCGGCCCTGGTGGTTGCAGGCACAGAGATTTTGTCACAGAGCGTTGCTTTTTAACACAAGCATGCAACAGGGCAAAGGGGGTCAAATGCGTTCTTCTGTACACTTGTGTGGTGGTGTACGTTCCTTACTCGAGCATCCCTCACCGCTGTTGCACTACGAAACGTTTTTGTTCTTTGGCCAGCCATGCTGCGATGGGTTTGATAGCATAGACTATACCGAGCCAAGTAAGGCATGTACGGTTACCGACCGCCCCACCACTACATTTCATGGCATGTAAGGACATCGCCATGTATTGCGTACAATGTGCGGTGAACGGCAAGCGATCGCCATCAGGATATGTCGTCTACCGTGCTGAAAGAAAAAGTAGTGTGAAATAAGATTCTTCGCGCCAAGAGCTCATCGTGGAGGCCTCGCTAACCTCGCCGAAGTACTGCATCTTCTTCCCCATCCAGACGAAGGTTGTTCGTTGGCCGGCTCCTCGTCCATTGAGGCGCTGCCACCTCCCTCAAGCGATGGCCTGCCGTGGCTAGTAGTATTGTCACCCCCCTCGCCGCACCTCGGCCCCGGTCCTGTGTTTCCTTTCATGGTACCCTTGTCTCCCCCTCGCTTCTTTTCATCCTCCAAAGCTCGTGTGTTTCCTAGCTCTGGTGCCTCCATCGTCGGACCAAAACCTTCTGGCTGAGGGCAGTCGTCCTCGTTGAAGACTTGGGCTTCAGTACCGTTCAGGTGGAAGTTTAATGGGTGGCAGATGGGCGTGGATGCCGTCGGACCGGCAGTCTTTAGGACATTTTGCTCTCTGCGACGCGCACTTACTCTCTCACGGACAGCTCTATACTGGCTGTATGTTGGCGGCAAGAGGGACAATTCCCTGTACAACAACTTGTTCTCGGCCTTGTATGAGTTCAGAGTGCGGGCCTGGAGAACACGGTTGGGGGCGGTGGGGAGAGGGGGGGAAAAGAGGAATGCAAAGACGTGAAAAGGGAGGGAGATAAGAAGAGAGAGAGGGGAGTGAGAGCAGGGGGGGGGGGGAGGGGGGGCGAG